TGCTTCCAATAAGACATCTAGGGCATCCTCCACTGCTTCGGCTTGTTTGTTTAATTCATAGAAGCTAAACTTTGGAAGGAGTTGCAGCTCAGAAAGGAGGCCAACAGCTGCTGCTGCTGTGCAAGTACGATCCCATGATGGCTGGGGCCTAACATCAAAATGCAATAGATGACAGCCATTTAGTTATGTTAGTGAAGAGAAAATAGTCCGTGGAAATCTTAGAAACCCAGAAAGGCATGTGGGATTTGGCCACTATGTGCCACATCTAACCTAAGTTTATGCATTGCAGATGCACCAGTAGTAAGAGATATGCAAGGAAGTTCATCATCCCCCCAAACTGACTTTGCATACTCCTGAAAATTGTAGAAATACCCACGTTAATACAATACACAAACAGCTCATGGAAAACTGAGTAAAATCTATAGCATGCTGGAGCAAATTTTTCAAGAAATTGATGACACAAAAGATTACAAAGTTTCAACTTCCAATCTTCTCTAATCTCATCACCAGGCCAAAAACTTCAGAAACAAAGCATATAGACATTGATTCCTGAACTCAAGCATCTTATGACTATTATCAAGGCTAATGCTCTTGATCAGCTTGTGAACAAATTGAACTACTCTTACAATCGCAAGAATGAAGAGTTGTTCTGTTGCCCCTTTGTCCTTGAACTTGATCATGATGCTTTCATGTGAAACTAAGCAATGGCATGTAAAAGTAGATAGCACAGGTATATGGCTCTTGCAGTTGGAGAATCGTATAACTCTGGAACTCAAATTGTCATCTAATGAAGAGAATACAAATAGTACGAACAGTACTACCTTTAAACGCCTGAACATTGCGGCAGAATTGCTCCATGTACCATCAATCAGAATGAAATTCAGAGTTTCATCTCTATTCATCTGTGCAGCAGCAAAACATAAAGTTACCACCTAGTTGAAACAAGGTAAAATGTCGAAGTAAAAGGATTTTTGTTGAAGGGCTTGTATGGGGGAGCACGAATAGTTTAAATAAATACAATGAAGAGAATTGCTTTACAACTTCAATTTCTTTTATGTTTCAAAAGCTCTCTTTCTATAGTCATATTGCCATTATTATAACAGCAAAAACATCATATACGTTCTTCAATGTTAGTACCATCCTTCATTTTTTCTTCAAAAATTTGGTTCTTCAACAGTCATTATTCTGATCCTTGTTTGTATCTCCCTTTAAAGTTAGTTATAATTCCACTACCAATTTCGCTGGGTAGATAAAATGCTCAAAATGTGCGAGGATGCCAACTATCATGTGAAAAATAACAGAGTCAGCCACAGTGCAGAAAAAGCTGATATATATACACACACACACAATATTTCAACTATAGACCTCTTAATTGGGGTAGGAAGGATTGCATTAAGTAGAAAGGTAGCTTGATCCATGACCTGTATTTTTTAGTTGTGAATTAATTCTCTCATAAATTCATGAAGAAAACCTCATAGTAGAAAAGGAAAAAACTGCATCAGACAGATGGAAGAGGAAAATCAAGATTCAATAGGAAAGAAAATTAGAAAGGACTGACGGGGATTAGATGGAGTAATTCCAATAAGAATGTAAGACAAACAAGACAGGATTGAATGGGAAGGCAGATATGGGTAATGTTGGGCCCACGGAAACTATAGTGATTGCAAATGACTCCAAATGATGGATAAAAAGAATACCTCATTATTGTTAGAAGAAACTTAATGCAGTAGATCAGATATTTCTGTATGTTATTGTAAAAGTTAAGTGAGTTTCAGAAGTTTTCATGCTACTTTAAAGAATATGGTGATACTGAATCCTTCATCTGCAGACTGCAGAAATTGAATAAAGGTGCTCATGCTAGTCTTATCATTGAATTTCAAATGATAAAACAGATAATAATAAGATTTTGCCAGGGACAGGTTAGCATGGTTAAGATAAATCCACCATTGTTGGTTCACATTTTCGATTCTCTGAAGATTCCTGACCGAAAGCGTCTTGAACAGACTTTACCACCTGATTCTGGTTAGGATAAAGGCACCATACCCTGCTTTTTCCTGAAATTGACATAAAACTCAATCAGAAATCAGGGCATTTAGCAGATCTTTAAAGTTAGATCCACAGAAACAGAAACTGGTGATTATTCGGACTGCTTAAATACAACAATTTAACAACTACGATATCAACTTTAATCACTTAGCTTAGGACTTAGGGAATCTAAAATGTTGTATTAAAATCCTCCTAAAAAACAGAGAGAACGAAAGAAAAGAAAAGGAAAGGTAAAATCAGAGGTGGGCTAGTTATCCTCCTAAAAAAAGGAAAAAAGAAAAGAAAAAAATGTGAAAAATTGGCCAAACTCATGAGAGCACAACCAGTCAATCTCTATGTAAAATAGACCTTAAAGAGATAATTCACCTTAAGCCAAAGAGAGGCCAAAAGGATCACCTATCCAAAAGGAACATAAGAGGTGAGAAATGATCCTTAAAATCCCTAGCTTTTTCCTCCAAAACAAGAATCCACAACCCAGAAGTAATGCTCCTTCCAAAAGCAATCTATCCTGCTTTTTCTTTCCAACACCATGAAACGAAGAAAAAGTAAATCCCGCAAGCTTCAGAAGAGAAATCCAGGAAACACTGAACGTCTCAAAAAGTGAGTCCAAAGTCTCCAAGCCATATTACAGTATAGAAAAGGATGACCAAGAGACTAACAGTTCTGAAGCATACTACACACACCCTAGGAGTTGCAGGCAGAGAACGATTTGTTCTATGAGTTTAAAGTATCAGAACCAAGATCCAAACAAATAATTTAACCTTAGATGGAGTAGGAACCTTCTAGAAATGTTTACTAAGCTTAAAATATATGGTACCGCATCTCTACCTGAGTTTCTATCACTATATCTATTTCAAAAGAACAATAACAACACGAGAGTTTCTTTTCTTTATAAGAATATAAAGCATTAATGTTGACCTTCCAGGTAACCAACATGCTTCCATATGAGATTTGAAACTGGTATATAAGTTATGCAACATTAGCCCACAATAAATTTCCAACTCTTACATAAATAAAAAGAAAATTTGTAGAAACCTGCAAGCTTAAAAGTGTCCCACATGATCTCCTCATCTTCTGTAATGCCATAGAGACACAAGGTTGCAGCTTGAATACCAAATATTTGCCATAACAACTTTCCAGTGTTGTTCTGCCTTAGGAAATCCTGCTAATGATTGATGGAGCATCGGATGATCTATATGCATCGCATGAATCATTGACATAGCTTGAGAGAACACACAAACCTTTGGATGCATATACAACCAAAATCGTATCCCATGCCAAAGAGTAGAAGGCTTAACTTTTGAACACATACAATCTTCCGAAGGAAGCCAGCACTGCGAAGTGAAAAATGTCCTATAAAATGATTGAGAAGAAAACAAAAGAATGAAGAACATAATATGAAACAAATTTTATGCTGAGGAATAACATAACCCAAACACTGTTCTCAAGTATGCTGTATACCTTCTGGCAGAGGTAACCTCTGCTTCCTAGCAAACGGCAAGCTATTTGCCGAGCAGAGTAGAACTGAAACTTTTTCTCAGAATCATCTAATGCTTGGTATGTTGCTCTATGTTTCTTATCCTCAACAACTCTAAAATCCCCCTACAGTGCAAAATGAAAAACAAAATTGAATAAGAAAAGGACCACCATGAACAGATTTACAAAGTGAAACTGATAGAAATTTTTCAGACAAAAAAATGGTAACTTTATAATTACTTTCTAACAATCGATATTCATCGCCTTCTACCAACCAAATTGAAACCCACCAAAAAAAAAAACTTACACACACAAGAAAACATCAATAGAAATGGGGAAAAAAAACCCACAAAGATAAATAACAATTGATTGATCACATGCCTGTAATTTGCCGCCAATTCCACCAAAATTCATCTGGGCATCAATATTTTGCTCCAAAATCTTCAAATCCTCAACGACCTGCTTCACCATTGATGGTACTGGAGACACAGCGCCCCATCCCTGCCACTCCTGCTCTGTGATGAACCCGTCGCCGTTGTCTTCGATTTGAACTTCTCGGGGGGCAGAACGAGTAGCAGAGCTTATGAATGAACAACGGAGATTCGTTTGTGGAGACTCCATTGGGGTTCTGGTGTATGATTTGAGAGGCGGCGAGAATTTGAACGTGGAGGCCCTAGTGCATAGCATGGTTTCTAGCTGCCGGGTTTTCAGTTCGTTGTTTTGGTCTGTCACTTTAGCATACTTTTTACCGGGTAATATTTTTTATTAAATTATAGTAATTTATTTCTTTGGTTAAAATTTATTAAAAGTAAATTTTTATTAAATTTAATAAAAATAATAATTAATTATTTGGGTTTATATTTTAAAGTTTTAAAAAATACATAACTTAATTTAAAATTTGTTAAATTTTTATATAAAGAAATGGTGTATATATTTCATGGTATTTAGTATAATACAAACATTTACAAAGATAATAAATTTTGACATTAGTTATAAGCGACAATTATTTTCAATAATTTTATATTTAACATAATTATATATATTATCTATTTATTTTTATAATATAAAATAATTTTAAATATGTTAAATTAAAATTAATGTGATAATATAACTAATAATTATCTATTCAATTAATGTCATAATTTATATAATAATATATGATAGTTATTTATTTATTTATTTTGATAATATATATTTAAATATTTGAATATAAAAATAAAATTTTGGTATAATTTCTATATGATTTATATTATTTGGTTTAAAATTATACACTATATAAATTATTAATCACATCTTTTTCTCACATCCAATTATGTAATTCACCAAAAATTAGGATATGCTATATATATATATATTATTAGAAATGGGGATAATAATCTAGTGTATATATTTCTCGATATGTACTATGTAACGATCCCGGAAATATTCAAAGAAAATAAATGATAATTAAAGTACAGAAACAAAATAAATGTTTAAAGTTTACATTCCTTACATAATAACTTAAAGTACCAAACAGTACTACGGAATTCAGTATTTTGAAAAAAATATAAGAAATAAGTAAATGAACAAAAAATAAAGAAAACTAGCATCTACTCGCAATCCTCTTGCGGATCGGGTTCTAAATCCTAGTCCTCTTAATCTGAAATTGTTAAATAAGGGATGAGTTACACTAACCTAATAAGGATATCACACTATATCACCGACACAGAAATAAATGTTGGTAGAAAATAAAAAACAATTAATAGAGCACTAAATTTAGCAAATTCATTTAACAATAATAAAATCATTTACCATCCACTTACCGTAGTAGGATTTATAAAAACAACCTATAGAAATAATAACATTATATAGATCATGATTTCATGCATAATCAACAACATAGCGTATAATTATAAATCCATATCCATATTCAATAAATCAAACAATAACTGCTACTCTTTTTAATAGCCTGCTAGTATCCATGGGGGGTTCATAAGGATATTTTCTCTACACGTGAACCATTTTTTATAACATTCTTAATTGCGGGCCATTCCCATACCCCGTTCGGTATGAGCGCCAAATTACTAAACCTTAATATCTCGTCCAGTATTATGGTGAAGCAGGTCGTCTTCATACCACGTCCGGTATGAGCCAAATTACCTAATCTCGATACTCCGTCCGGTATAAGACAACGTTTACGGTTGGGTTCTTTATGTACCCGGTCCGTCCACCATCTCCTAAGATATTTAGTAAAACTGTCGTTTCATCCATTCACTTAATCACACAATTTTTACCATTTAATCTTCATTTTTCTCAATTCAGCCGTAAACACATAGAATAAACTATACATATATTCAAAGTCATAAAATAAATTAATAAGGTACTATTATGCATTTAAACCATAAAATCAATCAACAAAGCAACATTAAATAATTTTCGGCTTTGCCTCCATTAGCAATCCATAATTAATTATGCACATTTTCTAAATCCACACAAAATATCGTATTATTATTTATTTAGACTTCAATTCTATGATAAGGAATAGGGTGAGGG